ACCTCCACAACACTTCCACAACACCTCCACAGCAATTAGCAGTAGTGCAGTAATTGGTAGTACAGCAATATGCAGTAGTGCAGTAATTGGCAGTGGTGCAGTAATGACCAGTAATGCAGTGATTGGCAGTAGTGCAGCAATTGGCAGTAGTGCAGCAATTGGCAGTAGTGCAGTGATGACCAGTAGTGCAGTAATTGGCAGTAGTGCAGTAATGACCAGTAGTGCAGTAATTGGCAGTCGTGCAGTAATGACCAGTAATGCAGTAATTGGCAGTAGTGCAGCAATTGGCAGTAGTGCAGCAATTGGCAGTAGTGCAGCAATTGGCAGTGGTGTGGTAATTGGCAGTAGTGCAGCAATGACCAGTAGTGCAATACTTGGCAGCAATGCAGCAATTGGCAGTAGTGCAGCAATTGGCAGACTAATTAATGATGTTCCAAGCTTCTGGCATTCGCTACAAGTGCTTTGCTTCTGAGAGGGTGTGTTGAGTTCTGTCAGCAATCTGCCCGCTCCGCCACAGACAGGCAGCCTCAAAGGAGGCCTTTGTGCCTTGGGGCACGAAGGCCCGAGCCACAGGCTGTCAAACAGACACTCAGTACTACCAATTACTGCACTACTGCTAATTGCTGTGGAGGTGTTGTGGAAGTGTTGTGGGCCGGAGATTGAGCCCGCGACCCTGCCCAACACGCCGTACTGAACGGCCGCCCCCAGTTCCTCTAGTCGCCCATAGCTCAGCGGGCAGGGGGTTGGGTCACAAGTTTTTTGGAAAAAGGGCGCGGGCTCAAACCCCAGTGGCGTCATTTAGACCCTTTGACGTTAATAAGGGCTTAATAAGGCTTTAATAAGGGCTTAATAAGCCTTAATAAGCCTCTTATAAGCCTTAAATAAGGCTCTAATAAAGCTTTAATATGGCTTTAATAAGGGCTTAATAAGGCTTTAATAAACCCTGAATAAGCCTCTTATAAGCCTTACATAAGGCTTTAATATGGCTTTAATAAGGGCTTAATAAGGGCTTAATAAGGCCTTAATAAGGCCTTAATAAAGGCTTAATAAGGCCTTAATTAGCCTCTTATCAGCCTTGTCAAGCCTTATTAAAGCCATATTGAAGCCTTATGACAGCCTTTATTAAGGGCTTTTCAGGATCAGCCAGGGCCAGCCAATATCATCCAGCATCAGCAAGAAACAGCCAGTTTCAGCCAGTACCGGTCAGTATCAGCCAATATCAGGATCAGCCATCATCCAGCATCAGCAAGTAGCCAATATCAGCCAGTTTCAGCCGGGATCAGCCAGGTTCAGCCAGTGTCAGCCAGTTTCAGCCAGTATCAACACTTCCACAACACTTCCACAACACTTCCACAACACCTCCACAACACCTCCACAACACCACAACACCTCCACAACACCTCTACAACACCGCCACAGCAATTAGCAGCAGCGCAGTAATTGGTAGTACAGCAATTGGCAGTAGTGCAGTAATTGGCAGGAGTGCAGCAATGACCAGTAGCGCAGTACTTGGCAGGAGTGCAGTGATGACGTGTTGTGGAACTGTTGTGGAGGTGCGTGTTGTGGAAGTTGTGGAAGTGTTGTGGAAGTGTTGCACTACTGGTCACTATTGCACCACTGCCAATTGCTGCACTACTGCCAATTGCTGCATTACTGAAAATTACTGCACTACTGGTCATCACTGCACTACTGCCAAGTACTGCACTTGTGCAGGTAGTGCAGTAATGACCAGTAGTGCAGTAATTGGCAGTAGCGCACTCATTGGCAGTAGTGCAGCAATGACCAGGACTGGTCATTACTGCACTACTGCCAATTACTGCCCAAATGACGGCGCCTGGAGTTTCTTCAAAACTCCAGACTGGATGGCCGCCTTTCACAAGAACTATCCTTCCACAGCCTAATGGGCAGGGGGAGGCTTTGCATGAGGGATAGGGAAAAGGCTCCTGGTTCAATCCCCAGGGGTGTCGTTTGGGCCCTTTCCCCACCCGGAATCGAGATTTTGGGGTGACCAAAAGCTCTGGGCACCCTGCATCGAGAGTACTGCCAATTGCTGCACTACTGCCAATTGCTGCATTGCTGCCAAGTATTGCACTACTGGTCATTGCTGCACTACTGCCAATTACTGCACTACTGGTCATCACTGCACTACTGCCAATTGCTGCACTACGGCCAATGACTGCAATACTGGTCATTACTGCATTGCTGCCAATTAGTGCACTACTGCCAATTACTGCACTACTGGTCATCACTGCACTACTGCCAATTGCTGCACTAATTACTGCCAATTGCTGCACTACTGCCAATCACTGAATTACTGGTCATTACTGCACTACTGCCAATTACTGCACTACTGCATATTGCTGTACTACCAATTACTGCACTACTGCTAATTGCTGTGGAGGTGTTGTGGAAGTGTTGTGGAAGTGTTGTGGAGGTGTTGTGGAGGTGTTGTGGACGTGTTGTGGAAGTGTTGTGGAAGTGTTGTGGAGGTGTTGTGGAGGTATTGTGGAAGTGTTGTGGAAGTGTTGTGGAAGTGTTGTGGAAGTTGTGGAAGTGTAGTGGAAGTGTTGTGGAAGTGTTGTGGACGTGTTGTGGAAGTGTTGTGGAAGTGTTGCACTACTGGTCACTATTGCACTACTGCCAATTGCTGCACTACTGCCAATTGCTGCATTACTGCCAAATACTGCACTACTGGTCCTCACTGCACTCCTGCCAAGTATTGCACTACTGGTCATTGCTGCACTACTGCCAATTAGTGCACTACTGCCAATTACCACACTGCTGCCAATTGCTGCACTACTGCCAATTACCGCACAACTAGTCAATACTGCACTACTGCCAATTACTGCACTACTGGTCATTACTGCACTGTTGCCAATTACTGCACTACTGGTCATCACTGCACTACTGCCAATTGCTGCACTACTGCCAATTGCTGCACTACTGCCAATTACTGCATTACTGGTCACTACTGCCAATTACTGCACTGCACTACGCCAATTACTACTACACTGCACTACTGCCAATTACTGCACTACTGGTCATTGCTGCACTACTGCCAATTGCACTACTGGTCATCAGTGCACTCCTGCCAATGTACTGCACTGCCAATTACTGCACTACTGTCACTGCACTACTGCCAATTACTGCACTACTGGTCCACTGCACTACTGCCAATTGCTGCACTACGGCCAATGACTGCAATACTGGTCACTACTGCATTGCTGCCAATTAGTGCACTACTGCCAATTACTGCACTACTGGTCATTGCTGCACTACTGCCAATTGCTGAATTAGTGCCAAATACTGCACTACTGGTCATCAGTGCACTCCTGCCAAGTACTGCACTGCCAATTACTGCACTACTGCCAAGGGCTGTACTACCAATTACTGCACTACTGGTCTTCACTGCACTACTGCCAATTGCTGCACTACGGCCAATGACTGCAATACTGGTCACTACTGCATTGCTGCCAATTAGTGCACTACTGCCAATTACTGCACTACTGGTCATTGCTGCACTACTGCCAATTGCTGAATTAGTGCCAAATACTGCACTACTGGTCATCAGTGCACTCCTGCCAAGTACTGCACTGCCAATTACTGCACTACTGCCAATGGCTGTACTACCAATTACCGCACTACTGCTAATTGCTGTGGAGGTGTTGTGGAAGTGTTGTGGAAGTGTTGTGGAAGTGTTGTGGACGTGTTGTGGAAGTGTTGTGGAAGTGTTGTGGAAGTGTTGTGGACGTGTTGTGGACGTGTTGTGGAGGTGTTGTGGAAGTTGTGGAAGCGTTGTGGAAGTGTTGCACTACTGGTCATTATTGCACCACTGCCAATTGCTGCACTACTGCCAATTGCTGCATTACTGCCAATTACTGCACTACTGGTCATCACTGCACTACTGCCAAGTACTGCACTTGTGCAGGTAGTGCAGTAATGACCAGTAGTGCAGTAATTGGCAGTAGTGCACTCATTGGCAGTAGTGCAGCAATGACCAGGACTGGTCATTACTGCACTACTGCCAAATGACGGCGCCTGGAGTTTCTTCAAAACTCCAGACTGGATGGCCGCCTTTCATGAGAACTATCCTTCCACAGCCTAATGGGCAGGGAGAAGCTTTGCATGAGAGGTAGGAAAAGGCTTCTGGTTCAATCCCCAGGGGTGTCGTTTGGGCCCTTTCCCCACCCGGAATCGAGATTTTGGGGTGACCAAAAGCTCTGGGCACCCTGCTTTAATTACTTGTAGAACCTGTGTTTCTGGCAGTTGAGATAACAACAGCCCCCTAATTATAAAAACATTCTCGAGTTTTTATTTAGGGCAAGGGGGGGGGCCCGACCATTTAATGCTAGGGGGAAGGGATTACACCCTTAACTACCCGCACCCTGTGTCGCGTCTGCAGAGACCGCCACCGCACAGGTCTCTGAACACGCTGAGGTGCCAGAAGGTTCGAGGTCAAGTGAAGATGACATGCTGTAAATACGCAGCTTGTGGCGTCGCCCTGACGAGCGAGCCAAGGAGGAGTGTTGAAAACGCTCCAGCATGTCAGTGATCAGCACTTGTAGTTTGCAGTTGTGGCTAGCTTTCAGGGCCCTTGTATAGCTGCTAGGTACCTGTAGTCTGGAAGTGTTTGTGCGCTGTTATGCTTCGGCTCGTAGGGGAAGGCTACGAAAGGTAAACCTCTTGAGCCATGTGTAATGTAACCAACAACTTGTAAAGCTGTACAGTTGTTCGTTGGTTCTTCGCTGTCCTTGTTTGTGTACGTTCAGAGTGAGATTCGCCTCTGCGCCCAGCCATAAAAGATCCGCGGACTTCGCTACAGGAAGCATGGCAGACCCATCACTTCAACAAAAACACTAAGTTCTGAGCTGTTATGCTAGCGGTAGGGCTATCGCTCCTAGGATCACCCTTCTCAAGATCACCACGAACTACCAATCTACTCTTGTAGTTGGGTTCTACGCTAGGATCAAGTAACCTCTTGTTGTGGTTCTTGTCCAGCTCTACCCACTGGGTATAGGTATGACTTGATGTCCTTCACGGATCAACTCGCCATACTGCGCGTCATCCAAAATGATCGCTGCACTGAAGTCCTGCCACTTCGCCCACTCCTTCGCTCTGCTCTTGTCCGGCTCCTTCTGAACATCTTCAGGGCACTTGTGGTACGTTAGGATCTTCCCGTGCTTCTCCTTCTGCTTCTTGGACGTAAAGTTCTTGCGGCGCTTGCGCCATTGCAAGACTTTCTTGTCGTCTTCAACGCGGTCCGAAAAGAAAACCCGTAAGGCCTCGTACTCCTTCTCCCCGGGAACTGAGTTCCAAGCGGTCGAAGTAGCTCGCGTAAGCCCTAGAAGAAGTGCTGAGCCCTCCGTGGCTTCTGCTTCGACATCGGCTTCAACTGCCGTGTCCTCAGCCATCGGCTCTTGGATCCCTCCTGTAGGGTCCAGCTGCTCGTTCTCTGGCTCCTCCACGCTCACGGCCGTGACTCTTCACGTGTTGCTACAACTCTCCTTCTAACAACTCGCTCTGGAGCTGCCGTCTCGGCTTCTGGAGGGTCCGCTTCTGAATCCATACGGATCGGAGAACCTAAACCTATTCGACCTATTCCTATTCCTCCGTCCGGTGGCTCTTCTGGGTTGTCTAGTACCATCCCCGGCGGCATCAATGTACCTCTGCTGCTCACGTTCAACTTCCGTGTGCTCGTACTGTATGTTGCCCCGGCTAAGCACCTGAAACGCAAGAACCTCAGCCGAAGTCCGGCCTGTCGGATCTGGACTCCGTGGCTGCTCAGCCCGTGCGCGAACGCACCTCTGTTGCGTAGCCCCCGATCGTGGTAGAAACCGAAACTGCGTGGTTGAACTCGTAAGCTGGTGGAGCTGACACAGGCTGGCATAGGTCATCGCATCCGAAATCCGCTTCCCGATCCGCGAAGAAGGAAGTCGTCGGCCAGGGATGCTTCTGCTCGTCTGGAGCTAAAGCCCGAAAATCGAACTGCTCCTAAGGAGCCCTAAAGCCTAGAGCCCCAACAAAAGCCCCGAAAGTCCAGGCCTCGACCTGCGCCTGCCCGACCTGGCGGCCGCCCCCCGGAACGCCGCAGGACGAGGGCCCTGGCAACTGCACCGCCGAGCGAGGGCACGGCAACGCCTCGCGAGAGAGCTGCGGGCTTTTTTTGCGCAGCAGCGCTCAGCACTGGGTCACCCGTTTGGCCTCCACGAACTCCGCGCATTTCTCCTGGGCGAAGAGGTTGCTCGCAGGTCTCCGGTAGAGCCTCGGCTGGGCCGGGGCAAACGCCCAACGGACTGCAAGGACTGCAAGGACTGCGGGCCGGCCTGGGCCCCCGGCTTCATCCGCAAAGCCCAAGGCTCCTGCGGCTCCGGAACACCAAGGTCCACCTGAACCCAAGTGCTGAGTGCGCATGCGCGCATGTCTGCGCAGGGCACCGCAAAACACGACGCCTCGGCTGCCGCTTGGTGGCCTGACACCTCCAACCTCGGCGACTCGGATTAAAAGGCAGACCGGCAAACAGCTACGGTCTGACGGTGCACCCGTGCACACCGTGCACACCGTGCACACCGTGCACACCGTGCACCCTTCCCCTCCTGCCTGGCTTCTTTCAGCCGCGACTTGTCTGGCCGGCCATCGGAGCCGAACAAGGCTCTTGCAGGCCCCACCTAAGAGCCGAGGTCTCAGCTCAGCGCCGCGGATGTACGGTGCACTCGATAAGGCTTTTCTCCAAGCCACATAGGCCTTGCAGCGCAGCTCGTCGTACACGGCCTCCCAGGCGCGGCGGAAACGGTGCGGCGGAAACGCGCAGCTCAGTGGGCGTGCGGGAGTCCCTGGGGCTGCTGAGGCTGCTGCACCGTTTGGCGGATGGCCAGGGCCCCCAGGGCCCCCCCCAGGGGGCGGCAAAACGATGTCCCGCAACTCGATCCGCAAGCGCTCCTCAACACACTTAGCGACAGTGCAGCTCTCACTTTCTGCTCCGCTTCTCCTCCACACCGGGTGCGACCACTGCATGGCTGAGATGTGCAAGACGGAGCAGCCCTCACAAGTCGCGCCAAAAGCAGTGAAGCAAGCTCACAAGGGCTCACAAGCTTCAAGCGCGAAGCTCCGGCCTCCGTCTGGGGCCCCCCAGGCTGTTTGGGGCCGAGACGTAGTCTCCGAAGAGAGGAACTTAGCCTCACCAGAACACTTCAAGGGAAGGGTCCACGAAGGTTCCGCAAATCATCGATGTCCCATGCCTCACCACCCCCAGCCCCGGCGGGCGTCATCTCACGTCATGGGGCACCGCAGGCAGTGCCGAGACTGTGTGACAGAATGTGATTCAAAGTTTGAGCAACTTCATCGGTGCGCTGGGAGTTGCTGGGAGCTGCTAGCTCGATAGCTGTGCGGTGAGGATCAGGTCTAGGCCTAGGCTCTCAGCCGAGCTGCAGCGGAATGCGAGAGGAGCACAAGACCGTGGAAGGACATCGACGGCGTGTCTCCTTTTTCTCCTGAAAAGCTCGTCCTGTATAAGCTCAGGCATGGCCTCAAGGATCGCTCGAGGAGACAAGAGAGATGCAAGAGGAAGTGAGCCAGAATAGATATATATCGATGGATCGTCTGATCAAATCTCATTGTCATGCAGTGACACCCCGGGGGACCCGGGACCCGGCCGGGCCGGGTGAGGACGCGAGCTCTAAAAAGGCGGGGGGAACAGCTGTGCACAGCTTCACCCCCCGGCCCCTTAAGCTCCAGCGACCTTACGTAATTTAGGCTTGGCTCTAGGCCTTTGGCTGCGTTTTCTGAAAGGCGGCCTGGAGCCTGGCCTCGGCCTCTGCAAGCGCCTTCTGGAAGCTCTTCTCACTCTCCGAGATCTTCGCCTCCAGCTTCGACACGTCCGCCGCCTGAGAGAAGCTGCGAGAAGAGAAAGCCTTACTAAGCCCTTGCAATAGCGCTTCGCTGTCTCAAATCTTGCGATTAGATTGGCCGAGCGGCAGAGCGGGCTTTGTAGCCCTCGAACTGCTCGGCGCTGGCCTTCTTGTAAGACTCGAAGGCCACGTTGGAGGCCTGCTGGGCGCCCTGCTGGGCCTCCAGTGTCTTTAGCAGGCTCTGCGCTTCCGACTTTGAGGAGCTGAGCTCCTTCTTCAAAGCCTCGATATCCGCTGTTTGCTGCTTCTGCAAGGCCTCCAACTTGCTTTCCATCTTTTGCAGCTCTGCCAACTGCGTGGCCATGCTTTGTTCCACGCTCTTTGCATGCTCCTTTCCTTGCTCCTCGAGTCGGTTCTGAAGCTGCGTGTGCAGCTGCGCCTGCTCCTTTTGCTGTCCCAAGGCTTGCTCCTTGTGCTCCCCCAAAGCCTTCTCCAAAGCTTCCTTGGTGCTGAGCACCGATTTCTCCAAGACTCCTTTGGCCTCCTCCGTGCCTTTTTGACAAACCTCCTTAGAAGCCTCCAGTTGCTTGGAGGCCTCTTCGCGATGCTCCGACAAGGCCTTCGTCTGCGCCTCGAAGTTCTTCTCCGAGATGATCTTGTGGGCCGTCAAGGCCTGCAGTTAAGTGGGGGCTAAGAGACGGCGGGCGCGGTGTGCCGGCGGCGCTGTTTAGGCCTCGCTGGTGCTGGCCATCACGGCCGAGGCCTCCTTCTTGTAGTCTTCCAGTCCCAAGGCTGCCTCCTGACGCTGGGCCTCGAACGGAAGGCAAAGCGGCGAGGAGCGTTTAACCGGTTTTGAGCCCCCTTTCCGACCGGCCTCCAGCTTCTTTGTCACCGCCTCTCTTTCTGCCACGACTTGTTCGTCCATCTGCTGCTTGGTGCTCAGCAGCGCCGTGGCGGACTCGGCCAGGCCCTTGGCCAGCTCCTCTCGCAGCGAGCCCTGCGCCTTCTCCGCCGTCGCCGAATGGGACACAAAGGAGCCCGCCACCTCAGGGTCAAGGCACACCACGCAACTACCACAACTGCGGCTCCGTTTCGACCGCACCTCCTCCTTGTGGGCGTCCAAGGACTTGGTGATCAGCCAGAGGGCCTCTCTCCCCAGTAGACTCTTGACTCTAGACTCTCTATCGCTCAGCGGATCCTCTCGACAACATTCTCTCGATTCCGCCTTGGAGGCGTTGCCCTTGTAATCGTTCAGGGCCTCCCAAAACCCAGCCCTAGCTCCAGCTGCCTTGCAGCCTTGCAGCCTTGCAGAGCCCGAGGAGCCTCTGTGGCTTTGGCATTTGCGGCCGCCTGTGCTGCCTGGCCGTCCTCCACCTTCTTCTCCAAGGCACTGAGAGAGCTTTGCAAGGCCGTGAGCTCCTCCGGGAAACCGCAAATCAGCCGCTCCGGCCGAGGAGCGTCCCTGCAGCTCTGCAGCCCTGCGCCTCGGCAGACTTCGTGGCCTGTGCTGTTTGCCCTTCCTCCAGCTTCTTCTCCGAGGCAGCCAACGCACTTCGCAAGGCCGCGATCTCCTCAAATCCGCTACTGAGCCGCTACAGCCGTTCTACTGCCCAGCTCTCCCCACAGCTCCTCGCTGCTTTTAGTCGCCTGCTCCGCCTGCCCTTCCTGCATCTTCTTCTCTGAAGCGCTCAGAGAGTCCCGCAAAGTCGCAAGCTCCTCACGTCAAAGCAACATCGGCCTCGGACTGACGACATGTCCGCACGGCCGCCTAGGCTCCTCCGTGACTTTGGCCGCCTGTGCCGCCTGACTCTCCTCCGTCTTCTTTCCCAATGCATTCAACGACGTCTGCAAGGTCGTGATGTCCTGCCGTGGCTCTCTTTCCGACACAACGCAGGACCGATACAGTAAGACACTCTGTGAGAGAAACCACACACTGAAGGAAGCAAAACCTTAACGAAGCTTGCCGGCACGAGACACGAAATACCTGACTGTGTAGTGCCAGTACAACTCGAGGCGACATGGCAGAACGGGCTCCCTTCCCCCACCCATCAATTTCTGTAGTTGAAAACATACATACAGATACAGTATGTAAAAAGATATTACCACCCACCCACCCACCCACCCCCGGAGGAAGCTCGGATATACAACCACTGCTGCATATCCCCGTACTGTTGCGGATGGAAGTCGAAAACCCTGCCAAAATGCTAAATTTCGTGTCCGCTATCGTTGTCTACAGTCAATAGTCAAAGCAGGTTCCGGCTGCGTAGCCGTGTTTCTTGCCGTTTAGTCTGCTCCCATGTCATGTCATGTTATGTGTGTCTGTGATATTTGCCCATACATTTTCTGCTATCTAGTATTTGAGCAGCAGTTACGATGCATGTAGTGTTGCTTCTGTTGAGTTACCGACACCTGCCATCTCATTTTCAACAAGAAACTACGATACACAGCATCTACGGCGAAGTTCCCTTATCTCATGCATAAGGAAATAAACGCAATACGAACCTGCGAACCCATGGTTCCTTCGTGTCTATCAATCATGCGCGTCCGAAGCGTACTACTTACTACCCACGACTTATTCACTGCTCTCTACTGCTTTCTAACGGCTTAGGACTTACTGTTTACCACTTGCAAGCTAAAACCTACAACCTACTACTTGCTACTGATTGCTACTAGTACTACTACTGCTACTACTACTACTGCTGCTACTACTACTACTACTATACTACTACTGCTACTGCTACTACTACTGCTGCTGCTACTACTACTACTACTACTACTACTACTACTACTACTACTACTACTACTAACTACTGCTACTTCTACTGCAGCTGCTGCTACTGCTACCAACTACTAGCTACTGGCTACTAGCTACTTCAACACACAAGCCGGGGTCAAATACTACCCGACCCCTGGATTCAGAGACTACGTAGCTTACAAGTGCCGGAATTGGCTTTAAGTACTATTGACTGACTAACTAACTAACTGACTTGCCTAACGAACACTACTGCTTCACCACCACCACTCCTACTCCTACTCCTACAACTACGCCACCGCCTACTCCTACTCCTACTCCCACTCCCTCCTACTCCTACTCCAACTCTTACTGCTAGTGCCACTGTGTGGGGCAAACGAGAACCAGCTTTGTGGATGGGGGGGCAAGATGACCCGGTCATCTTGCTAATCTTGACCACTTACCGTTTGCTCCACTTGCACCAACTGAGCACTTGCACCACTTGCACAAGCAATGTAATCTTGGGAATCTTGGTCATATCTGGGTAACCTTGCGTGCAAGATTACAAAGATTTCGGTAAAACATTAGCGGCTCTCATTGACTCATTGCCTGCACAATGTACTGCTACTGCTACTGCTACGGCTACGGCTGAAAGCTAATGCTCCTGCTCCTGCTACTGCTACCGCTACCGCTACTCCTACTGCTACGGCTACCTCACTGCTGCTGCTACCGCTACCACCGCCACCTCACCACCCCGCCAACACCATGCTCCCCGCCTCGGTCATTTTGGCCGCCTGTGCTGCCTGGCTTTCCTCCAGCTTCTTCGCCGAAGCACTGAAGGAACTCTGCAATGTCGTGATCTCCTTGGACGCCGAGTAAAAGTACAACAGCAGCAGCTGAAGTGACCTTACAGCTGCAATCGACCAAAAACCCCCCGGCCCCCCACCCGCTCCTCATTGGTTTTGGCGGCTTGTGCCGCTTGACCTTCTTCTGCTTTCTTCTCCGAGGCCATCAAGGCATTCCGCAGGGCCGCGATCTCCTCAAGCACCGGTCGGGTGACCGGCGAGTCGGGAAACGGAGTCGAAAACGCACGGAGGACCGAGTCGGAAAACAGATGACCGAGTCGAAAAAGAAAGAAACCAGTCAGAAAAAGCATGAAATGGCCAGTTTGCTGAACAGAAGCTCTCCCGCCCTTCATAGCAACATCTGCCGAGGAAGAAAAAAGCACTGGCGCACAAGAAGCTCGCGGATTGTTCTTCGCTGCCGATAGTCCTTTTCCAAATCAGGCCTCCTTGTGGGCCCAGCCTTCCCCCAAGCGAGTTGTGCCATTGCTCCGCCCTCTAAGAGCGTTCCACGTCAAATGTAACTTTATTCACGTGTCTGGTCTCGTTCATAGGCTTTGCGCCGCGACGTCGTTTTGAACGCAGAGCTGCGCTGGCAGTCTTCGCTGTCAAGTTTTAACCCCAGCAATGCTGCCACAGCAATCAGCAAATCGCGACACCGCACAATTCGGACATTGCACGAAAATGCAGAGGCTCCACACACTCCAGCAACTCCCCTCCAACTCCTTGGCGGTTGAGGCCGCCTGTGCTGCCTGCCCTTCCTCCGACTTCTTCTCTGCGGCGGCCAGCGTAGTCCGCAAGGACGCGATCTCCTTTGCAGGTCCGATAAACAATTATCAGACATCACCTGTATTCGAACTTCCATGCTCCCCCACCTCGGTCACTTTGGTGGTCTGCGCTGCTTGGCTTTCCTCCATCTTCTTCGCCGAAGCACTGAAGGAACTCTGCAATGTCGTGATCTCCTTGGACGCCGAGTAAAACAACAACAGCAGCAGCTGAGCGAGAAAACTCCCGACGCACTCCTCTGTGGTCTTGGCGGCTTGTGCCGCTTGACCTTCTTCTGCTTTCTTCTCCGAGGCCGTCAAGGCATTCCGCAAAGCCGTGATCTCCTCTCGCGAATCGCTGCAATCTCTCACAAACAATCCGGTAGCCGTCCATGCCAACAATCCCACCTCGGCTGTTTTGGCTGCTTGGGCAGCCTGTCCCGCTTCCGTCGTCTTCACGGAAGCGCTCAAAGAATTCTGCAAGGCTGCGATCTCCTCGTCTGGACCACTGCAAACGCCACGCCACGCTGGAAAGGTGTTTTGGGCCATTGTTGTGTTCAGCTGCCATTGAGCGCCTTTGCTTTGAGGCAACCTGTTGGGGAAGTTCCGGCAGTAGTAGCAGTAGTAGCAGTAGTAGTAGTAGTAGCAGCAGCAGTAGTAGTAGTAGTAGTAGTAGTAGTAGTAGTAGTAGTAGTAGTAGTAGTGTAGTAGTAGTAGTAGTAGTAGTAGTAGTAGTAGCAGTAGCAGTAGCAGTAGTAGCAGTAGCAGTAGCAGTGGCAGTAGCAGTGGCAGTGGCACTGGCAGTGGCATTGGCAATGGCTGTAGCAGTAGCGTAGCAGTAGCAGAGTAGTAGCAGCAGCAGTAGTAGCAGCAGGAGCGGACGAGTGAGTGGAGCAGAGCGAAGAGAGCGGCGCGAAGCGGGGGCTAAAAGGCCGAAGATCGTTGCGTCCTACGCCCCTGAGCCCTGTCGATCTTTCGTTTTTGGCCCGAGGCTGTAGGCTCAACACCCTTTCGATTTTGAATCAGCTCCTGTGTAGACGATCGATTGTGGGTCGAACACCCCGCTTCAGAAGAGAGAGGCGGGGGTGCGACGGGAGGTTCTTAATTAGGTTCTTAATTGGGTTCTTAATCGGGTTCTTGATTAGGTTCTGAATGGCAGGCGCGCGGAAGGGCGAGTGCGCGGCGCGAGGAGGTGCCAGATAGGTGAAAGATAGGTGAAAGATAGGTGAAAGATAGGTGCCGAATTTTCGCGGCGCGACGCGACGGCAAACACGCTCTCTCTCTGGGACATTCCCACACCCCACGTCAGAACACAGTTGAGAGGATCGTGATTCTAAAATTCGGCGTGGACCTCGGAGGCCTTATCGGCTCTAAACTGCAACGGAGTGCAGTTTAGAGCTTCAACGGAGCACAGCTCCTGGGGATTTTACGGTCCGAAATCTGCGGAGAAGGAGGAAGTCGAAGGCTGCAGGCCTGTGGGACTCGCAAGCTTTTTTTTCTCGAGCGAGTCCCACAGGCCTGCAGTCTTCGACTTCCGAATACGAGCAGATTTCGGACCGTGAAATCCCCAGAAGCTGTGCTCCGTTAAGGCTCTAAACTGCACTCCGTTGCAGTTTAGAGCCGATAAGGCCTCCGAGGTCCACGCCGAATTTTAGAATTACAATTCTCTCAACTGTGTTCTCCAGAGGGAAGCTTTACGTTTCTTGCGTTGTTTGTGACCTATCAGGAAGCCGGTAAGTTGCTGGCCCATTCCATCCGGAAGACTATGAGCAGGTGTGGTCAAAACCGAGGCGGGATCTGCGTCATCACAAATCCTAGGTGGTCTTTGCACTGCCTGGCTTGCATTAACTGTGAGTGCATCTGACATGTCTGCGGCGTGGGTCCGTGATATGGGCCAGTTTATGGAGTCAGTTTCCTCGCATGGTTGGCCTACTCAGAGTGATCCAAGATTTCCACCCTATCAACAGTACCTAGTGTTTCAACGGTTGTGCTGGCCTTTCCAAGAGGATGCTTCTGCAGAAGCAGAAACACCGGGACTGCGCGCGGACCCAGACTAGACATGGATCCGAACCGCTGCGGCTTGACTCAATCCGGAAGACGAGATCTGAGTTTTGGTCTTGTCGACTCGCAGGAGAGGCCGAAGTCAATTATCCGCGATCGGCGGGACGGAGACTGACGATGCCATTGGTGCGGGGTGAGGGCACACATGACGCGTGGCACACGATGCCACTGTCTGTATAGAGCAGCGAAAGCCAGAATGCCGAAAGTCGACAAGAGCCTTGAAAAGACTGAGGCGATGCCTCGTTCGGCATTTGATCACGCGTCCCCTCATTAGGCGATGGCGGTTGATGAAACCACCCCGATTTAGGCGATGCTGCTTGATCACTTTGAAAAACCGGCCCCCTCGTTCAGTGACGGCTACATATTGTTTACATTTTTTAAACCGGCCCCCTGAATCGGTGATGGCAGCTGATCGCATTTCTCAAAACCGTCCACTGATTCGGCGTTCCTTCCTTCCATTCTTCCCTCCTTCATTTCTTACCTTTTTTCTCTACTTCGTCTTGTTTTCTCTATTTATGGATTCCCTTCTTTCTTTCTGTCTTCGAAACCACATGCACAAAAAGAGCTTCCCAAAGTAACTGCCGTTTCAGAGAGGTCCCCCTCCAACTCCTTGGCGGTTGAGGCCGCCTGTGCTGCCTGCCCTTCCTCCGACTTCTTCTCTGCGGCGGCCAGCGTAGTCCGCAAGGACGCGATCTCCTTTGCAGGTCCGATAAACAATTATCAGACATCACCTGTCTTCGAAACTTCCATGCTCCCCACCTCGGTCACTTTGGTGGTCTGCGCTGCTTGGCTTTCCTCCATCTTCTTCGCCGAAGCACTGAAGGAACTCTGCAATGTCGTGATCTCCTTGGACGCCGAGCAAAACAACAACAGCAGCAGCTGAGCGAGAAAACTCCCGACGCACTCCTCTGTGGTCTTGGCGGCTTGTGCCGCTTGACCTTCTTCTGCTTTCTTCTCCGAGGCCGTCAAGGCATTCCGCAAAGCCGTGATCTCCTCTCGCGAATCGCTGCAATCTCTCACAAACAATCCGGTAGCCGTCCATGCCAACAATCCCACCTCGGCTGTTTTGGCTGCTTGGGCAGCCTGTCCCGCTTCCGTCGTCTTCACGGAAGCGCTCAAAGAATTCTGCAAGGCTGCGATCTCCTCGCATGGACCGAACTGCAACACCATGCCGCGGTGCGACTTTGTTTTCTGCCCTTTTTGTTCTCTTGGACCTTTGTCTTCTCTGCGGCTTGCTGTGAGGCAAGCTATTGGGAAATGCCTACGTAGATGCTGCTGTTTTCCAATACGTAAGTCAGTAAGTCAGTAAGTAAGAAGCAAGCTGTTGGGGGATACTGGAGAATTAGAGTTTGGCAGTGGTAGTAGTAGTAGTAGTAGTAGTAGTAGTAGTAGTAGTAGTAGTAGTAGTAGTAGTAGTACTAGTAGTAGTAGTAGTAGTAGTAGTAGTAGTAGTAGTAGTAGTAGTAGTCGTAGTAGTAGTAGTAGTAGTAGTAGTAGTAGTAGTAGTAGTAGTAGTAGCAGGTAGTAGCAGTAGTAGTAGTAGTAGTAGTAGTAGCAGCAGCAGCAGTAGCAGTAGCAGCAGCAGCAGCAGTAGCAGTAGCAGTAGCAGTAGCAGTAGCAGTAGCAGTAGCAGTAGCAGTAGCAGTAGCAAGTAGTAGTAGTAGTAGTAAGTAGTAGTAGTAGTAGTAGTAGTAGTAGTAGTAGTAGTAGTAGTAGTAGTAGCAGTAGCAGTAGTAGTAGCAGTAGTAGCAGTAGTAGCAGTAGTAGTAGTAGTTAGTACAATTATTGGAGCAGTAGGAGCAGCAGGAGCAGGAGGAGGAGTAGGAGTACTACAGGGAGTGGCAATTAACTACACCAGTAGCAATTGTATTGATCGCTTATCCAGAAAAGTTCATGACCCCACAAATACCGCAGGTGATTCAGCGGAGCAGGCAACGGGGACCAGTGGACCAGCACTATGCTGCAGCTTCTGAGAGGTCCCCCTCCAACTCCTTGGCGGTTAAGGCCGCCTGTGCTGCCTGCCCTTCCTCCGCCTTCTTCTCCGCGGCGGTGAGAGCAGTCCGCAAGGACGCGATCTCCTTCTGTAAATCATTCGGAATAGTTCGTTTCTGTAGCCCAGGAAAATGGCCAATACAAGAGTGTTGCTGTGTTGATTTCTGGCCGTTCTTTCTCTTCAGCCTCAGACCTCTGTGCTCCATCGACTACTCGGCACATCGTCACAGCCGGGGCAGCTGGGGCCTCCGTGGCTTTCGCCTGTGCCGCGAGGGCGCTCTCTTCCAGCTTCTTCTCCGAGGCTGCCAGCGCCGTCCGCAAGGCCGTGGACTCCTGCAAAGACGGGTGCAGGGCACGCTGAGTTCCCTGCCCCCTTGCACTCGCGGCTCGGCCGCTCAGCCTCGGTGGTCTTTTGCGCCTGTGCTTTGAGGCCCGCCGCCAAAGCTTCTTCCATCTTCTTTGCCAGCTGATTCAAGGAGTTCTGCGAGCTTGTGATCTCCTCCGGCGATCCGACGGAGAATCGGAGAAGTGAGCAACCCAGCTGGGCCCTGGAGGTCCTCCTTCTTTTGCAAGGTTTCTTGCAGAGTCAGAGAGAAGCTTTGCTGCTTTTCGGCAGATTCCTTGCTCTCCTTGCGAAGGGCTTCCAGAGCCGCTGCCTGGGCCGACTGCTGGGCCGACAGGAGCCCCTGCACCTCCAGGCACGCACAACACAGAGACGCAGAGGCTCAGCTGCTCAGCTATGGCGGCTCTTAGAGTGCGAACGCCTCGGCCATGAGCTTCTTTTGAAGCTGCTCCACGACCATCTGAGCCATGCGATGCACCGCGTGCACGTAAGTGCCCGTCGCAATGTCTCCCTTCTGCCTCGGCCATCAGCGTCCTCTGCAGCTGCTCCATCTCAGCCTCCAAGGCAAGACTCTCAAAGACCGAGTCAAAAAGAGCGCACTGAGCACACTCTCGCCTTCAAGGACTCCGCCTGGCTTTCCTGCACCAGCTATAGCAGCTGCGTTCTAGCTGCGTTCAGATCTCACAATTTCTGCAGCCGTGCATGGAAGCGCGGGCCCTGCGGGCGCCTTCTGTGCGGAAACCTGGGACGTCCAAAGCGGGGAAGCGGCCACGGGCCAAGAACCAGCGAGCCCAGGGAGCCTGAAGGGAGCCTGAAGGCCTAAAGGGGAGGGAATCGAACATAGTAATGAGACTAGGGTAGACGGGCAGCTGCATGGAGCCCAGAGGCTACAACGCCTGTGGAAGTAGCACAAACAAAGAACTAACTGCGCTACAACGCATGTGGAAGTAGCAGAAACAAAGGTATAGCAGTGTGCTCGGGTGCCGCCAGCTGCTCTCGCAGCAGCAAAGAAGGAGAACACTGGGCTCCCGCGCAAGCACCGCTCCGGTGCACAGGAGAAGGAGCAGGCGGCCCAAAGGAATGGCCATCGTGAGGACAAGAGAAGCCGAAGGGCCGAAGGGCCGAAGGCCGGCCGCAAAGCGCCCGCTTCTAACGTGACGGTCAACGGCTTTACGGCACTTTATACGGTTTTCAGTTTTCCTGTGTCTCGAGCTCGCTTCTCCTGTTCCTGTGCCATCAGAGTTCCCTTGCAGGCTGCGGCGCTCGATGCAAAGGCCATGTCGGACAGCTGTCGCGCGCGAGCTCAGTATCCGCTATGCAGCCGTGCGGGCGCTTTGTCTCGAAAAGGGGCGAAGCGCTAGCTGAGATCGCGAAAACTCTGTACCTGATCGCTGCCTTTTGAAGGCGGCGGAAATTGAAAGAGAGAGGCCTTCAAACGGGAAGGGGAGGCATGCTCCCTCCAAGGCTGCAAAGGGTTCTCCTCTCGACGCAAGTGCAACCGCCGAAAGGCGGCCGAAACGCCTTTCAGCAGGGGAAGGCTTCGACCGCCGTGTCTCAGCGGAACCTCGGCTCGGCTGCGACTGCGCTCCGACGAGCGCTCGGACCCTTTTGAAGCCCCTGCGAGCGCCCAGCGGGTTCCACATGCCGGGGCCGCTCTGCAACTTCTCCTCCTCGGCGTCGAAGATGGCCCTCAGAGGAGTCAGGAGGAGAGGAGGAGAGGAGAGCTTGGCGGCCCTGCCTTCACGGCTCAGCTGGGCTCCCGGCTCGAGGCTCTGCTGCTTCTTCTCCTGCTCCTCAGGGCCTCACTTTGACGAAGGTGCCGTGACTTGCGCTGCTGCAGCATTCTGAGAACCTAGTTAAAATTCGAGAAATGTGCTCAAGCGTTGAGGGCAACTAATTACATGTGTGCCGCATCCTCGTGATCTCGCTATGAGCACAAGCAATACTTCGGAATGAGATGCATCTATGTGTATATTATATATGTGGGTAATGTTATATACCCACCCCTGTATTGTCAATCAGCTTTCCCTTCTATATATGGTTATAACCTTGTGTTTGGTTAAAACCAATAGGGCGCCTAAACCACTAAACCAATACAGCATTAAGCCAGTACTTTTGCCCTATACCACCATACCAACAAACCAATCCTTTTGCCTCAGACCACCAAACCAATAAACCGTTAAATCATTCGACCAATCATTTTAGTTTTCCCCCTAATGAACCTAGACCCACCCCTAAACCATTACACCATTGAACCAATCATTTCCCCAGTGAGCCTAACATACCAATATATACATAGGCCAAAAGGATTGGTTTATCGCTTATTGGCTTTTTGGTTTAAGCCTCCGGTGAGTGCTGCTATGCCAAATCGAATGGTTTGGTGGTTTAGGCCCACCGTGCCCCACAGTTTCGGTCTTCCGTGCGTTCAGGGCGAAAGGGTTGGTGGAATGATTTAAGTCTCCCCCAACACCTAGCGCCAAAACCTAGGCGGTAACACTTAAACCCAAAAGTATAACGGTGAAATGATTTATTGGTGAGGCGAGGGGTTGTCTGTTGGTTTAATGGTTTCACCAATATTGGCAAGCTGCATGTGTTAAGGTTCCAAACGCCTGAGGGCTTATAAACCAGGGTTGTGGTTTATACACTTGGGGTTGCCGTCATTGTCCCGGACTGCAACAGCAATGAAGCTAAGTAAGGACTTGAAGAACAGATGCTCCTGGCATGCGGCATTCATTCGGCTTTCTTGAGGCATATGCAGGGCTTTGTAGCGAACATAATTCGCATATTCCAGGGGCCAGATGCATACTCTTGCGAGTTTAGCAGAAAGGCCATATACCGGACTTTGCACAATGGTCTGTCAGTTCCCGTACATCGGACTACAAGAGACAGGCCAATCTAATCCCTTCATCCATTGAATAAATCCCCCCTGAATGTAAACAATTCCCCGGCCGAAAAAAATTCAAATTTCCAGTTTTGAGCAAAAAGTTTCCAAATGCGTAGGTTCAAAGGCATGTTGAATTAGGGCCCAGGTAGGATCGGCATGAAGCGATTGGAACGAATCTCGCCTTACCAGGCTAGGGCTTGCATCTGCATTTGGAGCGCGGACATTTGGAGCACGAACGCGGCGTGCGAGGGAGGTCCGAGGGTGGCATTTTCAAGGTTTAGCGGTCTAGATTTGGAATTCCCAGGCCAGGGCCGCATTTGGAATTGGCACGGTCGGCATGGAGAATTGGATATTCGCAGGCTGGGGCCATTGTAAACAACAGAATTGTTCATATTAGGGGGAGTATTTTGGACTGGATTGGACTCTGCCTGCGGAAAGCCACTGGGTGCGGACTGGTAGCTGTTGCTGACCCTTGCCTGGGGACTTTAGATGCTTTCACGCGCCCTAGCCTGGGATCTCCGGAATATCTTGCATGTTTCATTACTGTCTCGATCCGGAACTCCCAGGCTAGGCGAGTGAACACACCTAAAACGTGGCGCGTGGCGATTTCGCAACTCCCAGGCTGCTTTTACTTAGATGTGCAGCCTTGCCTGGGAGAAGAAAATTTAGATTCGATTTTCGGAAATCCAGCCTGAAAACACCCGAAATCCACCGAATGTTAAATATTAAACGCCCAAAATCATTCTTTATATCTGTGGGGGTTATTATCACGGGAAGTGATTGTGTAAACCCCGCCGAAGCAAGGATCCGCTCAATTTGGCCAGCTGTTCAAGCCAACAGGCCATGCTCAGGCTCAGACGCATATTCCTGCATTCCCATAGCTTTACTCAGACAGTCTGACGGAAGGACTGCACAGCATTCTCTTTTCTCGTATTGCCCTCCAAAAACCCAAGTGTTCCGAGATCCCAGGAGAAAAGTCGACAGTCGACAGCTGCATCACTTCCCTGATGGATAAGGCCGTCTTTGCTCGCTTAAGAGAGAGAGAGAGAGAGAGAGAGATCAAGAAAGTTGGTTTTGCAATATCTGCGAATATAAATTTATGCTGCCCCCCCCCTCAGGTGCCCAGGTTTTCGTCTTTGTGCTGATAGCACGAAGGAAGTCGGACAGAAAAGGCTGAAGGTGCACGCGCATGGTCGCGAGAAGCCGACATATAGTACTAGTAGTGAGCGAGTGTGACAAAACTGCAGGGCATGGCGAAGCAGGCCTCGTGAAACCAACTAGGAGAAATTGCTTTGCACGGCATGGAGGTCATACTGTAGCATCCCAAGGCCATGCGCGCAGGTTTCGGATCAAGGTGGATAGTGGCTATGTTTAATTGGCTGTCTATATGGTTTTTACACACGCAACAATGTCATTGCTGTGGTGGGTTTTGCCGTCTCTCACATGAATTGCTGTGTTCATTGGTTCATTCAGCCATATATGGAATAAGCCTAAAGCAGTGTCATACAGTGTCATTATACCTGTCAAAGCCTTTAGTCTTCGCAGCACTGTACAATGATTCATGCGTGTCTGTCAAATTAGCAGTCAATAGCGACAAAAGTGTGAAATCGTGTTTCACGATAGTGCATAGGTTTCGCAATTCTTATTGGAAGTATAGTCTCCATTGCCTCAGGAATCCGATCTCCGTTTCTTGTCTCAGTCTGTTCTTCTATATCGATTTCAAAACATCAAGTGTGGTTTTAGTATTGCCTCTCACAGTGTTGCTATCACATCTTGTAAAACTGCCATTATTCCTGTTACTGTGGTTATCATACTTCATCAATACCAAGCCATTTAGCACCATGTACCACCGCTTCTGTAATTTCAGAAAGGGACGCTGTGGGGCTCCGGTTTTTGCACGCATGAGGTTTTGCGATGTTTTGTGCATTGTCGCTTAAAGTTTCGCCTTGGAATGTTTTAAGACTTTCGTTCGTAATTCAAAGCGTGAGGAGGTCCTCCATGGCCAGGGCCTCAGGGCGGGAAGCTTCAAGCCAGCCGCCCAGGCCCCAGGGCGTCCCACCCTCCATAATTTCTGCATCAAGTTTTCCTGCGTCAATTACTTACTGCTGTGTTTGTTCATTCGGAGTACTTCGTATATTGTTCAGGAACCTGGCCTAATAATAGCCCAGCATTGTGAAGTACATGTAGTACTTGCTGAGTCCTGTGTGTTATACATTCTGCTAAGTTGAGTATAAACCTACCAGAGAGTACCACGTGAATACGTACACTTGTGCTTCAGAATCTTCTTGGTAGGATGATGGTTAACCAAGTGACACATTTGCTTGCTTTTTTACGTGTTGAGAGCGGGTTCTTCGTGTTCCAAGTCAAAAATAATCCAACACGCCGCGGCTGCGTATTACACCCTAGGATGTATGATGTGGTTTATTAGTCAAGCTTGCTAGTTTTTCACGCCAAGTGATTTCCACATCTTTAATCCGAGTTCAGTTCATCAAAAGTGAGTGCACCATACAGGTAATATCCAATTTTGTGGTCGCAGAACCGTTTCGCAAAGTCTGCACCTACCAAATGATGACAAGTTGACAACGATGTATGTCAGAATTCTAGTCAAGGGCTCTTCGTGTTTATTGTAAGCACCAGAGCCACACTAAAGGATACACAAACACAACGACCAAGGACCCCCATGCAAACACGAAGCAACATAAGTACATGCTTTCTACATTGATCTTAAGAAGTGGGCGATTTAGCCAGCACAAGCCTGTTCGTGCAGCAATAGCTTTCCTATAGTGAAATTTAACAATTTACAGTGGAGCCTGGGATTTGAGGCGCCGAGGAGACAGAAAAAAACACATACATCTTGGTAGTTTTCCTTTACATGTCCCTCTAGTAACCCTACCCATTGTGAGTTGGGCATGGCAGACCCTTTTCAATCAGGACGCTGGGAGTCTTGGTTTTGAATATGGTTCTTGAGGGATCAGCCATTCTTGCTTTTCGGTAGAAAATGCATAGACCTATACTCCTTCACAATTGGTTATCTACTGTCTAAGCAGGGACATTTTTATTTAGATACTTTCCACTACTAGTTGTACAATGACCAGTCGTCTGGAATTAATACTGAAATATGACAGAAAGAATGCTCATGTATCTATTCTCATACATACATACATACATACATACATACGTACGCACGTCTGTATATTTGTATATATGTGTGTATATATATATATACATTATTGCTATGCGCACTCCATTTGTATGTGCGTGTCTGCACAGCGACAATGACCTATACTGACATTGTGCCGAAACAAAGACGTCGACACTGCAACACCCCTGGTCACGAGGACTTGAATCCATGATGCCTTGAGTTTCTGGGGCTCTGGCTCTGACTCTCGCCAGGGGAGCCCTTGAAGGCATCAAGGAAAGCCGAGAGCACGTTCTGCCAGGAGCAGGCACGCACACCATTCATCACCTACACTGACACCCATCCGAAGCTTATATCAGACCTCTCACATCTATATTGACATTTAGGCACACAAGACAAGTCCTGATCTTCCTTGGCCAAAGCCAACTTCATGTTGGACCCAAAGCGAGAGTTGAGCACCGTGAGAAACTGTCGGAAGGTTTCAAGAAGTCTGCATGCACTCGAAAGCAGAGCCGTCCTGGGTCATGCCAACACCCTGCGTATTCCACATCTCATCTCCGAATGTGGCGCTGATCATCACCTGCACGCAGCGGCGCAGCGGAATCGACGCAGAGATGTTACGGAACACTTGGCGCTGTGTGCGGCCAGGCTGCCAACTGAGCCCCGGGGCGAACCTGCAGAGAAGCGAAAAGTGCAGGCACAGAGGCACAGCACAGCGCAGCATAAAGGCTTCGCTGGTGCTGTTCGGCTGTTCGGCGCTGGGCTGCCCGACTCCTTGAGCCCAAGCGTCGCTGGACTTGTCCACGTCCTGCTAAGATCGCAGTCTTCGTAGCTCCCAGAACGTCACGCCTCACTCTCTCACTCTCGCGGCGGTGCCCCGCTTCGAGACGGGGTGTCTTCTCCTATCCTCCCAGCGACGTCTGTCCGAGGCCGGAGAGCTTTCCTTTCGGGCTCACAGGGGCCGCCTCGTATCGTTGGTACTACGGCATTTCGGTGCGTCTACACAGTGCTTTCAAACAGGCGGGCATTATTTCCCAAGTTTTGATCAGTGGTTCTGAAGTCACCATCATATAAAGCACCCAGCTTCAGCGAAGTGCGGGGCCATCAGCATCCCTGTCCAACCGCTTCGGATGTGGACCGGCTCCATTTAGCTCCGGATGTTGAAGCAGCTTGGCCGAATTCCTCACAAGATCGCGACGGTAAACCTTTGGAGCATGCGCCCGTAGCACAGCGCCATTGTGGCAAGGATGGTGCGGAGAAGTGAGACTCAGACGTCTCCAGCCAACGTGGCGCTTCGGCATTCCTGCGGCCCAAAGTCCTTCCTGTTCACGCCGAAAGTCCATCACATGTTCGGTAGCCGTTATACCTCTGCGTCACAAACGCAGCTATATTATATATATACAGAGTTTTTTGAGTGTGAGAGAGGGAGAGAGAGAGAGAGAGAGAGAGAGAGAGAGAGAGAGAGAGAGAGAGGGGGAGGGAGGGAGGGAGGGACGGAGAGGGGGGAGGGAGGGCTCAGGGATGCTCAGGAGCTCATTCGCTTTGTCGCGTCCTTGACGTAGATGTCACCGCCGCTGCGCTCTTCGAAGTCCACGCCCAAGGGCATCGACACCTCCACCACCTCGATGCCAAAACAGCGCCGCCAGGTGCAGCAGATGAGTGGGTTTTTGCAGGAGCGGTGGCGGACTTCGCGCTGCTTCGCCCTTCCGTCCGAGCCCCCCGGCGCGCGCAGAGTCCTCGTCGGCCTCCCGCTCCGCGTCTCAAGCTTTCCGTATACGGCTGCAGGCTGAGAGGCTCAGAACGCCATGGGCGGGGGCTCAGGCGGATCGCGCGCACGCTCGCTCCTGCCGCGCAGATCTGGTGCCGGTTTCTGCTGGGTCCTGCGAATGAAGTGCTCACTTGAGGACAGATGCTGTTCATATGACCCTTCCTGCTCCGGCTCGCTGTTCAGGAAAGGCAAATCGAAGACTTTCACTGGCAAGATGTGTCAATGTTCGGGCTCGAGACTGGAGCCGCTCTGCACCGCTCTCTGCACCGCCACCTCGGCGTGGTGTCGAGGAAGGCAACGAGGACGTTCTCAAGGTCCTCCCACAGAGGAAGGTCTCATGTGCCTCAGACTCATCGGGCGGCTTCACGAGGGCTGTGGGCTGTGGTGTCTGAAGGGCCGGGCAATCTTCGCTGTCGTCAGCCTGAAGAGCTGATGCCGGTGCACAGGCCGCACTGCCAGAGAAAGTCGAGGTGGCGGGCGCAAGTGCAAGAGCTGCAAGTCCTGAAGACGCTTGAAAAGCGAAGACCAGAGCTGCTCTCTGCATTAGGACTTGGGCTTCAAAATCCACACTCTGAGGGCCGAGCCCGAAGAGCGGCGTGTGCTTGGAGCCATCCTGTCCTGGCACTGGAGCTGAGCTGAGCGCTGCTTTCTGGGATGGTCTAGGAGTCCGAGGGCTGCTCGCCCGACTGCCCGACTGCCCTGCCTCTCTCGAATTTACCCAAGTGTCTCTTGAGCCTTGAAAACCTACATGTAGACTGTAGACTCTATAGATACTACACAAAATAGAGCATGCACCAGTGCTGCGGCTTGAGGCGACCGTCCGATCCGATCCTTTTTCAGCCCACGGAGTCTTCCAACGCAGCGTCAAGCCGGTCAGGCCGGCCGTCTCTGCAACGCGACGTGGCGGTCTCAGCACGCCATCGCAGCCATCGGAGCTAGGAGGGAGACGCCGCTGAGTCGCTCGAAACGCTGAAAGGCGGCGACGGTCGCGAGAGTGACCTGAGACGAAACGCTCCGAGCTGCAGTCACGACGGTCACGGCTGAAGCGGAGAGGCGGAGAGAGCCCCGCGGCCCCGCTGCCGAAGGCCCAGCTACGCTCCGCGCGCTCCGCTCCGCGTCAGAGGCTTTCGTCGAAGCTCGCCGCCGCCGTCACCGGCGTCACCGCCATCACCGGCCGCCCGAATTCAAAGGGGTGGGCGACTGAACGCCGAAACCAGCACTGAAACCAGCACGGCGACTCCGCCTGCACGGTATATGGACGTGGACTTGCAAGGAGCTCTTTCTGCTTTGAAGACTTCGGCTCAAGGGCTCAAGGGCCCAAGCCGCACAAGAACTCGATCTCAAAGCTCACAGACTCCCCGCCAACTCTGCAACTCTTGACCACTGGCTGCCTATATAAGTTGGCATTCTATTTTATCTGAGTTTCGCAGCCTCAACGAGTCAACTGCCTTAACTGCGATTCTGAGTGTTAAGGGCCCTTCGCGAACGGGAAGGGCTGGGAGAACCCGAGGAGAAGCGCCGCGGCAGCAATGCCCGCCGCGCCCCCAGGGCCTCCGCCGACTTCTCCCAACTGCGCCAAGGCTCGGTCTGCCTCGGCTTCTGCCTCGGCTCGCCGCACTGTCACCTTCAACTTCGCCACGTCACCGGGCCGCAGCCTCCTTAAGACGCCGAATGACACGCGGACAAGCAGGATGTGTCAAGGGTGCACAGCGACGTATTTCGTTCGTGCATGCAGTCGTGGTGTGGTGGTTGCAGCACAGCCGCCGCGTCCGCAGCTGCCGCGCTGGAGGCGACGATGCTATCTCAAAACGGGTACCAACAACTTGACTTCAAACCACTGGTCACGAGCTGTCAGCGCTGCCTGAGCTGGCAGGGCCCTCTGGGCTGTGCTTGGGTGCCTTCACCGTGAACATGCTCTGGCTGCTCTGGTTCAGTGGGAGCGACAAGGGCACTGCGCCTTTCGCACTGCAGCTTTGGCAATGCTTATGGAAGCTGGTCTTCGAAAAGAAACTAAGAAATGAGGTGCTGGAGGGGTAGCCCGCACCTTCGGATCACTGCCGTTAAAAATAGCTCAGACAAACGCCTCGGCACCAGTACATTTTCTACTCGACCAAACTCGCATCATCCTCAGCGTCTGGCTCCACGGCTAGTGGCCGACTGGTCCGCGTGCAGATACGACAGTGCATTGGCTTCCTCGCCGCGATCGAGCTCGTGCGCTGCAGAACCCTGTGTGTTGCATCGTTGAGAGTGAAAGATGCCGATGCCGACGGGCGAGGCCGGGCGCGAGGCGGACAGGCACTAATGGACTAACGGGCCCGCCGCGAAGCGGAGCAGCATGAGTCTAGGCTCTGCGCGCTCTGTGCATCTGAAACACCTTGTAGGTTCTGTTCGTTCTACGGGGTGCCGGGTACGTCGACTTGGTTTGTTCCATGTGCAAACGAGCCGACGCGCCGAAGTCGGTGGCATGATGGGGTCGAGTCGAACAAGGAATCAAGGGCTCACCCTCTCACAAGCCTGCTGATAGCCATTACGCTGGGATTCGCTCTGGCCAGCAGCATCAAAATGGCTGTGTGGTCTCCTGGCGCTGTAGCTTCGAGGCAGCACCGCCTCCGGCGCGAACGCAACTTACGTGGTTTCAGGGAGCAGGCATCAAGATCTGCCTAGCCCTTCGGACGCTACTTGGAGGCGGGCACACGGAACAGGCAAGCTGCGAGCTGTGGGAGCACCTCAGCTCGACTCGCTGGACTGGCGAAGTTTGAGTGCCTGCAAAGTGGGCTTCCTGACTGTGGTTAAAAGCAGCATTCGCGAGTGCAACGGGCAAATGTCTTTGGCTTATGGATCCTCCAGACTCGCGAGTGCAGGACGTGCGGGGTTAGGGGAGGCGGGGTCTGCTCCGGGTGCCGACAAGGCCGTGCGCGACAGGTGCACTGCACAAGCTGCTGAGGTTCATTGACACAGGACAGGTCAAGCTGCACCTGGCACTGGCACCTTTGTGGCTGGGGATTTCAGTGTCAAGCATGACGGCAGTCTTCGGCACAGCACCAGCACTGGGATTGCTCGCACAGTGTGAAGCACTAGCTCATGGTTCGAAGGCAACTGCCTCAAAGCTTGGAGGGCATCCCGGCTCAGGATTCAGTCGCGGGGCACCTGCGCAGAGCTTCAAATGCATTATGCAACGTCTAGGAGTCTAGGGCCCCACAGTGAAGACCGAGAAGCTTAGTTGGCCAGTGATGTTCCTAGGCCGAAGCACCGAAAGAACTTTGTACAGCACAGTCTTGGCGTTCAGCGATCGGAAAACTCAGCATTGCGATGTTGCAAGAAGGAAAAGTGCTGAAAGAACCGTCGCAGAAGACCAGGGTTGAGGGCACGCCTTGTAAGCCTTGCGAGCCTCGGCCTTCGTCTTCTTGTCACTGACATAGGCTGCGGAGCGGCAGTCGAGACTGCGGCGCTACGAAGCAGCAAGAGAAAGCTCCACGGCCCACACTGCCACAGGTGCAGAGAATTCGCGTTTTATTCATCGTTGCCGCCGCACAGGTGAGAGACACAGTAAGGGCTCCAATACAAGAACGTGGCCAAACAGGCTCTGGAAGCGTTGTGGACTTCTTGGGTGCATGAAGGCGCAAGCTACACAGCTACACCCACAGCGACAATCGTCTGGGCATGCCGGAGCTGTGTCTGGAGCCTGCTAAGCCTGCAAGCTCCTTTCTGCCTCGCATGCCCGCAGAACCTCAGTGCCTGCAGCCTCGCTCACTCAAGCACTCAAGACGAGGACTCGCTTGATTCTTGCAAGTCTCACTGGCGAAAGCAACGCAGTGCGTGCTGCAGGTGCCGCAGGTGCCGCTGGGCGCGGGCCAGCGGAGCCTGGCAGGCTGCGCAGCTGCAGGCACTGGCGCATGCTGCGGCAGTCAAGCGCAGGACTCAGGCAGAGAGCCTACGGAAGGGGGTGGTGCTTCGGAGTTTGTGCAACAGGACGGGGAAATGGCAAGGCTCTGAAGCGGCAGTTTCGGAAGTGAAAGCCTCGGAGGCGGAGGCGGAGGCGGCATCTCCGAAGGCTCGGTGTCTGAAGTCTTCGCATTGCTGTGACCATCGCTGCGTAACGTGCAAACACAACGCTCCGCCGCACGCCTCGCTTCCTCAGCCGCCACAAAGACAAGAGGTTTTGTGGGAAACTAGCACTGCCTAGCCGCAGCCCCCTCACAAAAAAACCCTTAAGTGCAACGACGAGCGTGCAATTGTGCACTCTTCATGTGCGCAAACCTGCGCTTAGCCGGTGCATCAGGATAGTGAGAAGGGGCACGAGAGGCGAGAGGTGCAGGACACGCCTTGACTGTTGGACACACCGGGCACGGGCATTTCTACTAAACCTGCAGCTCAAGCACGAGCAGGAGCATGTACATTCAAGACACATAAGCAGGTGAGCACGAGCTGGCAAGGAACAGGGCACCCATGGCTTCTTCCGAATCCCTTTTTGAAGCCTTAAAACTGGCTTCTACATGGACTGAGGCACTGAGCAGCGGCAGAGAGACAGCGGCGGAAGTCATGGAGTCTGGAATCAAGACAGAGACATCATACTGAAACCGCTGCTCAGCTGAGCCTTTGCTAGCTAGACTTAGACAGTGCATTTGAGAGGCGAATTGCCGTTAAGTTGCATACTTTAGTGCCGAGGCGAAGCTGCGATCGTGTTATCCTCTTGTAGCCATCCGCTCTGAGTCTGGCAACTTGCCGTGAGCACTCCAATGGGCGCACCATCCCCATCGAGCACTCCCAGACAGCCCAGCATCGGTGAGAAACCATGGTTCTATAGCTCCACCTTCACCGCGAACTTGAGGGAAGTTGCAAAGGAGACAGCAGAAGGAGAAAAGTATAGATGCCTCTTACACTGTTCGCTCGACTTTCCAGGTGTGAGCAGGCAAGCAGGCTGGGAAGCTCGGCCAGCCTCATTGGCGACTTCTTGTGTGCCAAGCTCTGCAACGGCACGGGACTAACCGTCGGCAAACCCGAGCTCTGAGACTCTGAGACTCAAGATGGAAAGGCTGCTCGTTTTCATCGTAACAAAACGCTAGAGCTAGGGCGGCCAGGGTTTAGGGTCTCCTCTTCATACAGTGGCAACAGGGCATCCATGGCAGTGGCAACAGGCTCGGGAGAAGGCCTCAAGGAACCGGAAAGCCCTGAGACCCCTACGGCATTGGTCAAAGCCACCGCGAAACCGCCGTTTGGCTCGGACCGCTGCGTGCTTGCGCCCGTAAGAATTCATCTCACCATCTGGGAAGTTTTCTGCAAGACACCCAAGTTTTGCTTGGGTGAACGCTTGCCATCACCCACCCCGGCAGTCGCACATTGACTGCTTCTTCTGAGAGGCTGAGGCGGTGGGCAGCCACAGCAGCAGGCACTTGGAAGGACGACTCCTCTGCCCTACACTGGGCCTTGTGGCGCGGAGTTTCAGCGACGGCATCAAGAGAAGTGAACAAAATCAAAGTCTTGCAGTCCTGGGAGCCCTGAGCGATCTTGGAGGCCTGACCACAAAAGAGCGATATCCCCCAAGCT